GGGGGGGCCGCCCCCCCCCCCCCCCAAAAAAAAAGGATGTATGCACTAAGGGTGTTTTTTAAAGAGGGGGGGGGATGCGGGGGTTTCTAATATTTTACTTAGTTGCATGCTAAATACATAGTTGCCCCCTTATAATTCATCTGATCAAAGTCAACCAGAGTAAAAAAAACTCACACCATTTAAATATGCCGATGTGTAGCAATGAAATATTTTAGTGATCTCCCTTAAGATGTTTTTTCCTAAATTCTTGGCTGTTTATAGCAACTATACATGAAAAGCCTGTATATACTGCAAATTCATCCCTTTATCAGGAACCCCCCCGTGTTCTTTATTGAATGCTAACTTTTTGCAAATTAAACCTTGTCTAAAATTAAATTTATAAGAGTGGTTTAACTTCACAAGTAGCTTTATATTATTTACAGCAAGCTTATAAACAAAGTACAAGAAATGAGAAATTAAAAAAATTTTAGAGCAATAATTTAATCACGTTTAGAGTGCAGTTTATCTTTTTTTGAGTGCATTTCCCCTTTTCTAGAAAAAATACAATTTTCTATGTCCTAAAATTAACAAGTTCAAAAGACAATTCAAAGAATTCATCCAAATAATTGAATACATAAACTTCATCTCAGCTTTGGCTTATACTTATAGTAAATACTTCAAATTCATGATGACTAGTTAATAATGTCCATTTTTACAGTTAGAAGTAAAAAAAAAACAGGGTTTTTTTGAGTGACACCATTACCATTGCAGCATAGTGCATGACATTACAGGCTGCATCAATAAATATCTGTTTCAAACCACTTTACGGGCTGACCAAGAAAATTAAAACAATTTGATCAAATTAAAATCATTTACCTCAATAATCATAGATAGCTTTTTTTCTTTAACTCCCACAGAAATGTTTAAATTCATTGCTAATATTTTCTCAGCTTTTAAACAAAAACAAATTTCAACCAGTGTCAATGAAGTGGTGAAACAAATCAAATGGTCCCAATCTGTAGACACACCTCCAAACAGCAAGGGCTCTGCACAGTTATTTGTGAAGTTTACAGTTTCAGTAGATTTGCTTTAAGAAATGTGCAAGTTCAGGGTGTAAAACAACCCAGTCTCTCCTTCTGGCGCAATAGGATTTAAGAATCACGAAAACTTCCAACTAAAGTTTACCAAATACCAGATCCACTGTTTCTGCCTGTTTGCCATTTAATGGTCTCAATATTTATTATTGTTGGTATTTTGGTACTCTTTTGAACGTTGAAATTCAGTGGTTAGACAAGATGACCTTCTTTAAAGCCCTAATAACAGCTCTGGTAAAAACAAAAACCCTTAAATAAATTGTAGCCATTTTTTGTTAGAGGTTGCACATTTCTTGCTTTCACAAAATGAACCTCCCAATCGAGCACATAAACCTGTCCCTTTTGGCTATACCTTGACAAAGAAATATCTTGACCAATAAAACCAGAATTGACAGTATGTGAAACACCCTTATAAAACCTGTTTAATCAAATTAGCCTTTATATGGGTGTTCCGCCCACAGTCATTTTTTTGTGTTTTTTTTTATCACATCCTGAGTAACTGTTTAATATTAGATATTAGTTACTCAGGGTGCGATTAAAAAAAAAACATCTGGTGGGCCAACAGCTCACCAATGGGGTTCCATGTTACAGCACAAACTAGGACACATTGCCCAAAACTATGGTTTCATTTCTGCTTATGCTGTAAAATTATTTGGTTTTACAGGACGAAAAACACATTTTAAGAAAAGGGAAAAGGGGGGAATACCTTTATATCCTCAATTAGAATACAATGTTCAAACAAACTTTTTCTCGTCAATCCAAAAATTTTATGTTCAATCCTAAGATAAAATTGAAAGTTGTTTGCTTATTTGACTGGGTGCAGGCTGTCACGATAAAAAAAAATGGATGATCACAGCCTGGATTCATACAGAAGAAGCAACATGTCACCATTTTCACCATCAGCTGTTGCCAACCTGGTCAATCTTGTCCAAACCAGTTGGTCATCCTTCTTGCAGTCATACCATAATAAATATTACCCTTAATCCCATGACTGCACTGCCTCAGGCGCTCGATAAGCTGGGCCGGCGGGTCAGAATTAATGTCCCGAGATTACTGGGAAATCACATAGTGGTTCATTCTCCTGTACTACGTTCCGCATTTTCTTTGGCATCCCCTTTATGGTCGGCACCCTTTGATGAATTGGTGACTGAATGATTTTTTAAGACTAGCTCCACCAGCTCAGGTATTGTCATGGTGACCTCGTACTCCAGGGGGTTGATCTTTGAGTCAGAAAAATAAAGAAAGATGGCTTTTAAAACAAAATATTTTAAATGCTTTAAAAAAAAAATTAAATGAGGTATGTGGTGCTTGATATTAAATTTGATCAGTGGTGCACAACCTTTTTAAATCCTTCATACTAACTTCCCTTTTGTTCATGGCTGGCTGGCAAATTGACCCACTTCCCATCAGCCTATTGAGCTGAAACTTGGCAAATAGACTCATTGCTGATGACAACACATTCTATCAAATGTTCAGCCCACCCCATAACCCCAAAAAAAGGTTTTTCATGTTTTTCAAAGGGAAGATGAAAGAAATATGATGCCACTGATTTCATGACATAAAATTCCAGATAACTGTGCTAAATGAGATTCTTAAAAAAAAAAAAGAATATGGTGCGTTTGGTGCGAAATATTTTCTTTAGTTTTTTTCTGAAATGGTTTAAATCTGTGGTGTAAAAGCGGGTGGGACATTAGAATATTAATGTAGTTCAGGGGCGTGAAAAAAAATGTGCGGTGGCGAGCCTTGTTGAGAGGAAGCACGAATTGGAATTCTTATTAACTGCGTTATTTGAATGCTTGTTTCGTCAAATTTTCATCTCCACCCCACCCTTCCCCAATTACTCGACATTAAATTGTATAAACGATTTATATGAAAATCTTTGTTTTCAGAGGTTTAATGGTAAGTCCCACTTAAGAACTATGTTACTAAGAAAACCCAATGTAAATTAATAAAGTCTACTTGCAACAAGGGTTTTGCACCAATTCCTTGATCAGTGCTTCCCAAGCTTTGCTATAGGGCTCAGTATTCACTTCTCATAGACTCTGGGGCTGCTCCGGGAAAATCTTAAACACTATTAACTTGTAAGACATTGAGTAGACTAATAGGTATTAATTCTACAAAGGGCTCAGCAAGTCAAAAAGGTTGGGAACCACTGGTTTAAAAGATTTGAAAATATGAAGAAAAATGTAGCAAAATAAAATTGAGTGCATAATTATAACCATGAAGGTCCCTAGCATACCAGATAACTCAATAAGGAATATTATGTGGCAATGCTAAATATCAACGTTATATTTTCTTTTTGATAGTCTTAAAAATGCACTAATACAACAGACTTTTTTGAGATGATCCGATTATAAATTAAGTATGCCAGCAGGTAGTAGCGTTGATTTACTTGTACAGTTTTTTGAACTGTAATTACTGTAACAGTTACACAAAAAAAATTTAAGCTAATTTCTACAAATATGCAGTAACAGAGTTATAAGACTAAAACTCTAAAATGCCATATGTATGCACGTGAATGTTAAGTAATTCTAAAAAATTTCTTCCCAACTAAAAAGATTTTTAAAAAAGAAAGAGAAAGTTAGTACGCACCTTCCATTGCCCACTCACCTCTCTAGCATTGTGGGTGTCCCTGATAACTGACCACTGGTTGATGATATCATTGTAGTGTGCGGCTTGGGCAAAGTCCCCTCTCTGTGTGTAAAGCCTCACTAGACCTCTATAATCATACTCTAGGCCACTGTAACCTTCACCAAATAATTGTCTTCCTGCAAGAACCCGGAGAGCATAAATTTCTTTAGGGGGATTCCACTGCGGAATTGTAATAATACAATTTGAGATAAATTATAAAGTATGGTAACTTGTCATGGCTTTAAAAACATTGCCAGCAATATACCTTTTTTCAAGTTATCTACATATCTTACAGAAGAAAAATATAAAACTGCTTGTTATTACTTCTTCAATAATTGAATGATGTTTAGTTGTAGCATTCTTCATTCCAGAGCACATGCTTTAAAGATTTTGAACAGAACTTAAAAGAATCCCAAGACATGAGTGCCCACCTATTTTGACAGATCTCAAGTACAACTTCTCAGCCTCATCGTACTTAAACATGTCATAGTTGAACAGTGAAGCCAGGTGACCCACAGAGAGAGCGACTTCATAGTCATCAGGCCCTAGTAACCTTTCCTTGATCTCAATGGCCTGCTTGTGCATTCTCTCTGCATCCTTTGGAAAAAATATCAGGCACTTTACTTAGGGAGATTATGAATTTTGTTGATCTGCATTAACTCAGCGAAACTAAAAAGAATAATTTTCCAAGCATTAAAAAATTTATTTCTAGCTTTATTTTTATTTTAAGAGATGAAAATTTCAATTTCATTTAAGAAAATTTAAAAAATAAATAAATCCCTCCTGCCTTGTTTTATATTGAACAGTTTCTCCCAAACTACAACTCATTACACCCCCCCCCCCATCCCCCATGTCTGAAATCAAGGCATGGCTCTGAGAATCTCAGTTGTTAACAAACATCGTCATAAATATTGATCTTGGTTTTTTTTAAAAAATAAGTCCAAATCGTTTTTTTAAAATCCTTATTTTACATGGGAAAAGACAACCATTATTACATACATCATATCGCTTCATTGACTGAAAAAGGCGACCAAGGTTCCCATAATGCTTGGCAGTCTGTACATTTTCCTCTCCAAATGCAGACCGAGCCTGTTCTAATGATGACAGGTGGAGACTCAGGGCCTCCTCCAAATACCGTTTCTCTTCCACTTTATCAGTACAGTCTATGCCAATCTCTTCAAGAATTAAGGCTGTGGAATAAGCATCATTGTTCTAAGTAAGATGGGTTAACTTTTGGCTGTGGAATGAGCATCATTGTTCTAAGTAAGATGGGTTAACTTTTGGCTGTGGAATGAGCATCATTGTTCTAAGTAATATGGGTTAACTTTGGCTGTGCAATGAGCATCATTGTTCTAAGTAAGATGGGTTAACTTTTCATGACATAGAAAAGAATTTCATTTCCCTGTCTAGGCTTTCCTACCATGCACAGTTCTCTGCAAAGCTGACATGTAGCTCAGTTATCACCAATGGGTTCAATATATCCCTAAGATACTTGCTGCATACATAAAGTGGAACCCACTGATTTCTAAATCACTTCTTACAAGAGGAACTTAAAGCCATGGTTACTATTAACTTAGTTTACTACAAAATCTCCCATCTTGTAAGGATAACAGTACACACCATAACACAAGTTTCAGATATTGTTAAAAAAAAAAACAAAAAAAAACCACTATAAAATTAACTCAAATCCAAAACACAAGTATTCTCTTGACCCCACATATTTTTTTCTGTCCTTTCCCTTTCAAACCTTGAGAATTCACATGAGATTAAAAAAAATAAATTAATATGATCGCCCTCTTTCACAAAAACAACCCTGCATCATTCTACACCAAGGGTTTGACAGTGTACAGATGTCTAAAAATTGTTGACAATGCTTTTGAGCATAAGAATCTCATTTAAATAAATGGCTGGTTCAAGTTACTAAAAATAACTCTAAATTTTTTTGTTTCTATAATAACCTATTAATTCCTGCAAGCAGTAGACACCTGCTTAAGATGATATTGGCATTGGCCAAGAGCCAAGACTAGAGCATTTATGACATACAATTTCATCTTTTTAACTCGAACCTTTGTTATTGATTCAGAGCCGTAAGTGTTCTCAAAGGTCATAAATAGCTAGAATACATATTTTGCATGGCATAAATATTTGTTAGGCTGAATGATGTTTAACTTTAGAGAATTGTACAAAACCGTTCTAGAACATAGACATTATTATGGAAATTCTCATTATGAGTAAATTATGTCTTTCTTGTAAATTGGGTAACATGTGCATATTACTTAAGCAAAGAATATACTTATTCATTTAAATTTAGGATAACATGCGGTTTATTACATCCTATTGAAAAAAGAAAGAAAATTATTACAGCTTAATGTCTAGAACCACAATAGCATCACAAGCACAATCTTTTGAATGGAAATTTTACCCGGGCTCAGTGATGTGCTAGTTACTAATAAATATTGTTCTTTTCAGGTTTTTGAGTAAATATTGATGTTGTAACTGAAACAAACCTTTAACTCTTTTGGATGATGATAACAAGAGGTGATCTTCAGGCAGAATTTTACATAAAATACCCATTGATTTCTCAGCGTGGTCTCTGCAGGAAAAAAAAGAAAAAAAGGAGTCAGTGATCCTCATATTTAGTCATATTTATTCAGAACTTGGCTGTAAAATGGCTGTAGTAAAGAATGGTAATGTGTAGCTCATTTTTAGAGACAATGGTTTCATGTAATGTAAGTAATGAATCCTATTTTCTAAGAATCATTTAAAATTTAGTTCTTCGTTTCAATCTAGAAGTGACAAGTCAGCCAAACTAATAAAGTTGAAAAGAAATTTAAAGCTCGCCTGCTTACTTTGCATGCTGGAATTTCCCAGAGCTGTACTCATTGACATATGAGGCGTACGCCAGGTCTTCACATGCTATAGCCACATACAAATTGTTTCCACCAAACACAGATTGCCGTATATCAAGGGCAAGCTTAAAAATATTGTAAAAAATAAAAGGCATAAGCAGCTTTACATCACAGGAGCTGCTATGATCATTCTAACATATCCATTGAATAGAAATGATTTAAGGATTTGAAAAACATTACAGTTATTATTTCTTGTGTATACTATACACAAGCGTTCCCCAATGGTGGTCTGCAAGCCCGGCACCGTACAGCAAGGCCAACGTTGCCGGTCCGTACGACTTAAATTTTATGGTCGAATAAAAAAGAAAATACAATTTATAAATCTCCAGCCTGTCCCTTAAGCAATGTCCAAACTTTTAAAAGATTGGGAAACGCTGATGTAAGCATTAAAATGATATTCACTTTAACGTTGTAGCATTCAACTTCTAACTGGACTGGGAAAGAGAATTGAAAAATAAATAATTAAGGATCAGTCATTTTATATTAGCGAAGCAGAAGACTCCACTTATAGTTCCCAAATAAGTTACTGGCAAATTGAGATCTTATCTTAATCACATCAAGTCATTTGAATTTCGAATAGCCCCCCCCCCCCCCCCCCCCATGAGAAAAGGGTTAAAACTCTAATTGTCAGTAGCACCAAAAGAAATGTTTGAACAAATGTTAACATTAACCTGATAGACTTGCACAGCTGGTATAACGCAGTCTGAGTTGAGCAAGAAAAAGCCATAATCCAACAGAGTGTCAGCATGTTTAGGATGATACTTGCCAAACTTTTCCCTGATGAAGACAAGAGCAGAGATGAGGCAACATTGCCTCCATGATAAAAAAAAAAAAGTCAGTTTAAAGGTTACTTATGCAGCAGGGATGTAATTTTTAAAAAATAAAAAAAAAAAGATTAAAAAGAAAAAGATCATGCTAAAAGTGACTTTAAAAACACTGAAATCAAAAGTTGAATAACAAGAAAAAAATGTAATTGTAAAAGAATTGCTCAAACTGGGATGAGGCCAATGTCTTTGGCCCTATCAACTTGATGACCCACTGGCTTAGCTAGCCAGCCACTGTACTGTCCATGTAAAAATTTTGATAGTGGTTAAATTTATGGCCCTTATTATCATGAATGTGGGATATTCAGGCGACCATCTTTATTCATACACCTGGTTGAAATTTTAACCACAAATGGGAATATGTAGAAGACCCATGGATGTTGTAGATGAAAATGTGAACATGCCTTCAGCTTTTTTTAGGATAAGTATAACTGATAATAAATTTTGTAGTCAAGATGTCAAGGAAAGACAATTAAACAATACTCTTTTCAAGTGTAATTAAAAGTTTATGAAAAGGTTTAAAATAGCTGTTTTTTTTCCCCCACTTAAGATAAAATATGTTCTCCTTAACAGATTTTAAAGATATTGTTGATTGTGTACCTTGCAAATGCAACAGCATATTTGATCAACAGCTCAGCAGTCTTGAATTCTCTTTTCACTACACAGGCCTAAAAAAAAATTGAAATACAGAACACTAGGACTTTTTAAAAAAATGCACACATGACAGATGCATAAAATCATTATAATCCCAATAAAAGTTAAACCACTCCCACAAACATCTGGACTGAGAATTAATTGATGTTAGAAGTTTTGTTAGTCTAAAAAATGTTGAAAACTGAAACCAAAAAAAAAAAATTAAAAAAAAAAAATAATAAAAAAAATCCACTTTATAATGGTTCAAAGGTCAAGGAAAGAACTGAGTTTGACAGAGGCTTCGACTTTGATCTTTTTAAATGCTTCTTAGCATGTGAATCCCTAAGTGTTTACCTTAGAGCATAACCTCATGACATTAACCACAGCCATTGGTGGCATATTTGAGTTGAGCTCCAAGATTGCTAGATGACAAGTGTTGAAGGCCTGTGACAGAAAACCCAGGTCAAATGTTATTTGAAAAGTCATATCAATGAAAATTGTCTTAATTTCAATTATGATAGTTGTGCATGCTTTTTTTGTTCACTTGTACTAAATTTTCAAATTTTACAATCAAATTTTGAGTGGAATTTACCTTTTTCTAAAAATATAGTCTTGTCTAAATAAAACTTTAAAAATTTCTTCCACTTCTGCAACTTTTATCCTTAAAATTTCCTTTCATTTGATCTCTATATAGATGAGGAGCATATATACCAGTACAAAAAATATTGTTTGGTCCTCTTAACAGTAATAAAATCTTACCTGTGTATATCTGCTCTGTGCAAATAAAAGAGCACAGTGTTCTGCATACAGCACAGCCTTGTTTACTTTATGACCACGTCCCTCAAGCTCAGTGCAAATCTTTAAGGCTTTATTATATGTCTCTTCCGCATCCTTGTATTGACAATTGACATTCTGACTATGAAGTAATCTGAAACAAAACAACTGATGCCTTTTTTAACTGGCTAAGCCTACTTCAATTTCTCAGTTTGCTTCACATTTAATCCATTAATTTTTAGGCTTATGGAAAAGATTTAACTTATTCATCAGGGATTTTAGCAACAAAATGGCTAATGGATATCTCTTTATGGCTCTCTAGATCATTTTAAAAACATTTATACCTGGAGCTGAACTAACCTTACTGCAAATTCCATAGCCCTATATTTATTTGGTGTGCTCTCATCATTTATGCAAGCATCAAGACAAGCAGTGTATATAACTGTACTGTCAGCAAACCAGCCAGCCTCACAGAGAAATGCACCTAGGGAAACAAATATGCAACATGCTTGTTAAGGAGCATTAAGTTAAATACAGGCCATTTTAAACTTAAAAGAAGGCATTTATAATTTTACGACAAAATATTGGACTCACTAAAGAAATTTAGTTTACACCTAATAATAAACTTAAGTCTCAATAAACATTTTAACAAATTTCAGTTGAATTAAACTCAACATAAAATCAATGCAATAGAATTATGAATCATCTTTCGGTAATCAAAGTGTTTTAATTAAGATACAAATATATCAATAACTCTGCAAGAATGCACATCAATTTAACAGATGGTTAAAATTAAACAAAGGGAGTGCTGAACTTTGTGACACAGTATTAAAATCTTTAATGATTTTATTTGTGTCAGATATTGTAATTAAAAAAACATTCATATCTGCACTTTACCTAATGAAAATCCTAACTGCATAATTCTGCCCTTGACATTTTCGTTCTCTAAGACATCTGGTGTGATGCGCTTGCAAAATTCAACTGACAAAATGCATGCCAAGTTCTCCTCGTTGTCCATTATGGCTTGAAAACATCGATGAAGTAGAATCCTTGTAAAATTATAATTCCAAAATGGCATTAAAACTAATTTGAGCAACTATTCAGGTGTCATGATTGGTGCTTGAGAATTTGAACAAATTTAGAAGACTTATTTTAAAATCTGAATTTCTGCGTAACAGAATATGTTGTTTTAGACCCTAATAGAATTTTTCATGTGTTTCTAACATTTACTTTAAAAAATAAAGAGACTGAAAAGTTAACAAAAAACAATATTGGTATTAGAGAGATTAATAAGACGCAGATATTTTATGTAAAAAAACAATTTATGTTAAGCCTTAATTATGATTAGACAAAAATACAAATTTAAACCTTTCAGCAAATACCTTTATCAGTATTAAAAAACAACATTATAATTATAAATTAAATTTACTTAGTACTTATATCTTAACTATATGTAAAAATGCCCCTAAAAAAACAAAGATCAGAAGCATGTAAAGAAAGTGGTTTTAAAGAACAATTTGTGCTTTTAGAAAGGATAATGTTATTTTCAATTGAATCAGCTGTGCTAAAACTTTGCAGCAGGGACAAAGGTGCAGTAGTTCAGTAAAAGGAAAGTCACTCTGTGACTATTGGAGGAGGGTACTTATTTACTAAGAAAAACAATACAAATGACAGAAAACTGATCACACAATTATAAAACAATTTTCTTTGTGTTAACAACTTCAGACACTTTTTTGTGTGCAAATGTATAAACCACATTTAGTTTTATATTACTTTAAATCTATCCAAAGCTGCACATAAAACAAGAACAGTTCATCATCCCCACCATCATCAAAACATTTACTTGTATCCATATAAAATTAGACTGATAAAAACTAAAAGTTGGAAATCAGTATTACCTTTTATTCATGACCCTAAGTACTCTTGAGAAAACATCCAGATCTTTAAATTCATTTCCAAGATCTCCAAGTCCATTTTTATCATAGAGCTTAAAGATAAAGATTTATTAATGATTAATGGAAAGAAAATATGAGACATGATATATATTATTAAAAAACATGCAAATTTATAGTTTTAATCATTTATAATTACTGAGTCCATATTTATTCCAAATGAAATACATAAAATACAAAAGCAAATGAAATAAAGGAAATAGAAGTTAAGGTAATAGATAAGTTCATTTACTTTGGGTTGCTACAAAATTATACATAAGGGAGAACATAAAAAAAAAAGGGGAAAAAAAAAGGAAATGGTCCTTTCTTCACATTAAAATTAAACGGTAGCTATTTGATAATTTAAAAAAACAACATTGTATCAGCATTACATTTGATTTCATTGGTTTAGCTGAAAATTTTTATCAAACAATAACATTAATATGATAGAAACCCATAGTTTAGCTGAACCTTTATGGTTTGATAAAGATGCAGAATTTTGAAGAAGCGGGAGGTGTGTTAAAAGAATTACTAGCTCATATAACACATGTGATTTGCAACATATTGTCCATGAAACTGCTCATGTCAGACATTCATAATGCCTGGTTTATTCTCTATTATCTAATCAAAATGCAAAGCTGTTAATAGAATTATTTAACACTAAAAAACAGTAACCATTCTTTGTTCAAAAGCTATTAAGCTTCAAACTGCATCAGTGGTATATTGAAATTTGAGTCAAAATACCAAACTTGAGTTCAGTATGTCTATGGTTTCTACATCTCTATAAGTCAAAGCCTAAAGCAGACCTAAGTAATACTTAGCTAAGAGTAAGAGACTAAAACATGATACCTAACTAAGTCTAAGTACTAAATTGCAGGCCTTGATACTAGTAAGGCTAGGATTGGGTTAGCAGTAAGATTGGCAATGTCTTCCACAGTATAAAGGATATGGAAGTTACCTGGGTTCACTTCCGGCTACACTTACATATTCAAAAGATTATGATTTTTAGTTTGTTGATACCAATTTTTTCCCCCCTCATTTTTTGTTTTGTTTTAAATGTAGGATAGGGGTCTACTCTCCTCAGGAAATTATGTTGAAACATACTGTGATATGGTGACATGATTGAAGCTAAGGACATACATGTTCTTCTTTTTTCAATTAATCAAAAGACATCACTTCTAGCAATGTGCACGGCTTTTTCAACAGTGTTAATTTCGGTGTGTCAGCAAAAATGAGTTTGTTTATTTTAGTTCATATCAACATTGAATGTTAAATTTTAATTTTTAAAAAATTGAAAATGTCATTTTAATAATTGATACAAATTGTATCGATCGTCAGATTTATTTAATGATGCATAGATTTGGAAAGTAATCATACACATTGTGCTAGTACAACTGTTATTTTAGTCATCCTAAGTCAAGAGTTAGGATTCCCCAAAGTGGCATCAATACTCTAAGGGTGAGACAACTCTTGGCTAAACCCACACAGCTAACCAAATATTTACTTAGTAGTAGTAGTAATGCCTTATGGACTTGAGTATATGTACTTCAATATTTGTATGCGCAACATTCTGCGCATATAAAATATTGACGCACATTTATGTTTTTATAGTTATATCATAATAGCCTTTGTAGAGATCTCATTTTTTTGCATTATTATATGCCACATTTTTCTAATAATTAATTTTGTCATCAAAACAGGGGCTTTAAAAAATTCCCCCCAAAAAATCAATACTCCGAATTACTCCACTTAGTATACTTTCATAAAATATGGAAAGTTGAACTTGGGTGTTTTTTTTACAGAGCTTAACTCTTTTGCAGCAGAATTTTTCAAATGAAAAAGATCTACATTTTTTTCAAAGAGCAAAAAAGAGTGAGAGGTTGAGTTTATTTTTAAAAAAGTCATATTTTAGGTTTGGTTTATAAGGCTACATTTGGTATCAAATGAAAGATAACTGAATGTTTTTAAAATTATTTCTTCAGTTTAGCTAAAATAAGTAACAGAAGAAAAAACTTCAAATGTGAAAACATGATATGCAAAACCTTTTTTTCCCCAAACCCTTTGATGTAGGCATGTGATGGATCTAAATCTAAATCAACTTCACTATCAATAGAAATAGTATAAAATATTTCCAAAGCTTTTTGAGCTGTTCATTGTCTAGGAAACTTGCTCAACCCACAAGGGCCTAATGTTGCCATAGCAACAGAATTGATTGATAAAGAAATAAAACAGCCTAAAATATTAATAAAATAACGCTTCAAATGATGACAAATAAACTTTGCTTTTGCTCATAAAAAATGAATTACCACTCTTCTATGTAAACAATATTGCTTTTTAGAACTGCGGATGAACGCACTGTGCATTGCACAACAGCAAAAGAGTTTAGGCTAGCCCTTTTAAAATCATAATCATATATTATATTATATTATTATTATATATTAATTATGGCAATCAGACAACATGCCGACAAATGTTTTAGTTTCCTTAGACTTAGTAGGCTAGTACTGATAATACGTAACAGTATTTAATTAAAAATAATTAGTCAATTAGTAAATTAATTTTAAGTATGTTTCATTAATTTTGTACAGAATGATGGTGGTGTAAGTTGTATTAATTTTAATTCAATTCAACAGGGTAAATTGTTTAAAAATAATATCTCTAAATTGCTAAATTATTAATTAGGTTAACTAGTTAACTAGTAACTAGTTAATTCAAAGTCACATAGTTTGTTCAGTCAGTTGAGACAGTTAGAAAGTCAAGTAGGGGCTTACCCAAGTAGGTAACCCCTGGTGTAGTCAAGTTAGTCAGTATACGTCAGTAGTCAGTTTTTTTTGAGTCAGTTAGTTGAGTTAGTCAGCTTCAGTTGTGTTTACTAAACAGTGTTTAGTTAGTTTAATTTTAATGTTAGTAGTTAGTATTTAATTTTTTTTAAAGAAAAATATTAATATTTTGCATAAACCTACTTACCTTATAATAAACATCAAATATAACATCATCTGTAAGATTCCTAAGTTCTCTCCTGTATTGACTAAAACGCATTACAACTGCAGAGATCGCTGTATTATAAAGAGATTCTGGTGCCCATTCCAACTCAGTTGCCCTCGCCATCTTGGATTATTATTTAGCTGTAATAAAGGGACGGAACTTTCACGTAACTGTATCCCCAAAAGATCATACTCATACCTAATTCCATCTTGAAGAAAAGAAGTATAGATTTCAAAAATACTAAGGGGCATTGTACATATAACAAAACAACAAAACATAACAACAACAATTTAACCCACCCCTACCCTTATATAACTGCCCCCCTAATATTATATAACATTTCCAGAAGACCTCCCCCGCCCAATAAAAGAACTCGAATAAGTCAAAAACAAAACAAAAGAAAAAGCATACCGAAGCAAGCAAATTTCGTGCAAACAGCATATATATATATATATATATATATATATATATANTATATATATATATATATATATATATGAATATAAATTTGCCAATTATTATACGCAAAAATTAAATTTTTAATTCTTTAATATTTTCTAATATCGAAAATTTGACAAGCAAAAATAAATATTAAAACAGACAACAAATAAAAAGAATATATATAACGTTGCTCTCGACCACCCCCATTTAGCTATATGGGCCATAAAAATAAATATAACAAAATGATAACCCACCCCCAATCCCTTACATGCACGGTCCCTAACTGACTGACGCATACTTTTAATTATCTTGCTGTTGTCTAAATTTAAAACAATGTTCACCTGCCCCCGAGCATTCTTAGATTGTGATTCAAAATACAAATTTATTAATTGTCTTGCTTGCAGTCGGCTCATTGTTCACTTAGCCTACTACGGCAATAAACTTCACTATAAACGCTACACTTAGCTGTGGCCATTGTGGGCATTGAATATTGCTGACGCTTATCACTTTGCGTAAATTATTGCAAACATATGTTGCAACTCATTAACTTTTATGGTATTCTAAAATTATTAAATAATAATCTGAAAACAAATACGTCTAAAATAAGTATAGGCCTATGGCTATGGACTTATATTTCCACAATTCATAGATTGAAAGCATTAGGCTATGCAGCAGTATGCAACTATACCGCCTTGCATTGATTATTTAAATAGAAATTACGTTATGTTCAAACAAACATGTCAATTATGTCATTTTAACTTTTTAAGCATTTTTTACAATGTCATTAGTCATGCTATTTTTGTTTTGGTTGTGCTCGTTCCTTAACTGTGTCATCAGAATTCAAAATTCCTCCAAAAGTTTTTAAATTTTTTTTTTTCCTGAATAGATTCCTGCCCGCCCCAAACCAAATTTGCACTTATTGGAGACTGGGTTTCATCAATGCATTTGTCTTTACACATAGATGCCATGGGGAAAAATCTAGTTGTAGTTGTCGGTTCAGGTTTTTGTCATTCCCATCCAAAAAATAACGATTGCACTCAAACTTTACTCAGTGAACACCCACAAAGTTGAATAAAGCTAATAGTCCATTAAGTCCATATGTTCAGATGTTCCTTTTAATTAACGATTTGATACTTTGAAAGCCATATCTGGGTATAAAAACTAAATTTGACAACGTCAATTTAAGTGGGGAGAAGTTTTTTTCAAATTAGTCTAAATAAGTGTTATTTAGAAAAAAAAACAAAAAAAAACAAAAACTGTTTTCTTAATTAATTCATTCGCGATGAAACAACTATTAAAATATTCTTTAATGTGTAGGATAAAACCACCAAGGTAAACGTAGCTTTTAGGTATTTTAGTTTATAGTTGCTTTCAAAGTAGACACTCATTTGCAGACGTAGACCAGGTGTGTTGAACTATTTTTGTTTCAAATAAAATTATTACGAGGACATTAGTTTTGAAAAAGTACGAAGCACTGTATGTATTTTATTGTTATTTATATAATGGTAATTATCAATAGATAGGCCTATATTTATGAGTAGAAAATAAAAGCCAATTATTATTTTAACCACAAAAAATATAATAGGAAGTGAGACCAAAAAAAATAAATATATAATTGGGGATAAATGATTATACACCGGCGATAAGTAAATATTGACATAAATGATTGATTTTCACGGAGATACCATTGACAGAATATTTTCAAGTCTAACTTATTTTTAACAAGATAAAAGAAACATAGAAGCCTTTTCTCAGTATTTAAAAAAGGTAAGACATCAGCTTTTAATTCAGATGCCTCTGACTATTTAAAACTATTTAATTTGGCAAAAATTTTGGCAACATTTAATTTTGATTCTGATTATTGAATCAATTTCTGTCAATTAACTCAATTGTCAATTAATTCAATTATTATTAAATTTTGTTATCATGTCATGATGTCAATTTCAGTTTCAATTTAGATTTATTTGGAAAGAGCATGATAACAGTGAGTCCTGTGAAAGTTTGAAAAATCAAACCAGTTAATGTTAATTCATCACAATCACATTTATTATATTCATTCTTAATTTTAAATTTTGTTTCTCTACAATTATTACTATTACTAATTACTAATTCTATCATCACTGAAAAATAAAAAAGGAAGTGGTAAAAATTAGAGCTGCAACTACAATAATATACTATTACATAATGAATTATGAAAAATGAATTAATTATCCTTCCCCACTTATAATTACAATTTAATTTTTAATAAATATTATAATTTCTAATGATAATGTAAATAAACAATCAAGTTTTGTAGGCTAAATTGTACTGTTTGGTTAAAAAAAAAAGAGAGAGTATCTATGACTCCCTAAAAAACTATCTGGTTTATAATTTATTTAGGTTTTACAATTTTTTAACTCAACATCCTAATTTGCCAGTTTAAGTCAATTTTAGATCATTATATCATTGCTGGTTACTCATACACAGGGATTGACCCTCACGTGATCAGCAGGTAACTTTCGTTCTTCGGACTCTGACTAAATTGTTCCCCTGTTATTCCTGTAACTATATCAGGGAGGTCCCATGTGACCTGCTCATTTTGAATCGATAGAGACGAATCATAGCAAGCAACATTAGTTCTTACTTATATCTTATGTTACTTGTCATATCTGGCCGTTTCTTAAATAAAACGCATGTTATATCCTGGTGTATTTGTAGAATACATTTTATTATGTGGGTTGAAATGGATGATTCCTGTTCTTTATTGATCATGTATAGTAAGCTCTTTGAATGTACCCCTTAACAATGATATCACCAAAGTTTAACATACTGCCATGTCTTGTGCAGACTCTACATGTGTATACGTATACACTAAAAGCTGTATATCATTCTATTTATACATTTTACATCTCAAACAGACTCAACTGTAACGCCAATATCCAACTAATGATTATATAGTGCTTGAATTAGGTGTACTGCCATGCTTTAAAGTCTTACATAGACCCATGTGGGCGACATCATAATTGTAATAGAGAAATATCTAGAATGTAGGTTAACTCAATCAACTTGTACCTCAGTGTCTCATGCTTAAAATAAGTAATTTGAGATTGTACTAGCTTCCCTCACATCTCACATATATTCGTGGCGAACCGTGTACTGCTCATATAAGCTAAATCCCACAGCATAACTTCTGTTATAATTAAATAATATTAAAGAATTACATTTACCCTTTATATACTCATTGGAATTTACTATTATAATTAATCATCATTGCTGTTCAACTTGATTATCCAACATGATTATGACTCGTTAAGAAACAATCTGTTATTGCTAGATATGTAATGTATGTTTGTCATTCTTTGAAGGAACAACCTTGTAATTACAGAGTTACCCCATGTGTTTATTGAATGATTATCCTTCTTTGGATAGCCTGTAAAACCGTAGTTATTTATAGTTATCCAACCTGTTTATTGCTCGTTATGTATACGTAAATGTAGTCACTTAAATTAAATTGTATTATATATTATATATTTCTTTTCAGATATTGTGCTTTGTCTTTCATTTTTCGCTTCTTCTCCTATATTTACATACAATAAAGCGATAGTTCTCATGACCTTGTATCCTGTATTTTTAAACTAAAATTTAAACTGTATTGCCACCAACCAACCACCCACTCAGTATGGCTACTCGTAGATAGGGGCCTTTATATAAAGTAATTGTAATAATTGATGTTTGCATGAAGAAAGAAGAGTAATTTCATTACTTCATCAAACCTGCTAAACTTAAAAGCGTTGAGCCACGCTTTCATTTGCACAGGATTTTTTTTTCTTTAAAAAATATGAAAAAGTGTTTAAGAAATATTTAACCTCTTTTTTTTTAAACCACCCCAATATTAGAGCAATATCACAGCACTGGCTGGATATCTTGTATACCGGTAACTGAACAGCTTATCTGCCCTCTGCCAACTTTCTCATTCTCCCCCTTTTCCTGCATAGTTCTCTTTCACTCAACTTGTATTTACTTTATGCTCCACCACCTTCACTTTGAGGTTATTTATTTTGTGTCTTGTTAATGACATAGCACTTGTGGAGTTAACATCCAATCCTAAAGTCCATTGTTGCCGTTATTTTCAACTTCATTTATTATTATATTTAGTTTCTTTTTGTCCTTGCTTTCCTTTCCTTGTTGGTGAGGGTTTCTGCTTTGTTCATGTTTTCCTTTCCTTGTTGGTGAGGGTTTCTGCTTTGTTCATGTTTTCCTTTCCTTGTTGGTGAGGGTTTCTGCTTTGTTCATGTTTTCCTTTCCTTGTTGGTGAGGGTTTCTGCTTTGTTCATGTTTTCCTTTCCTTGTTGGTGAGGGTTTCTGCTTTGTTCATGTTTTCCTTTCCTTGTTGGTGAGGGTTTCTGCTTTGTTCATGTTTTCCTTTCCTTGTTGGTGAGGGTTTCTGCTTTGTTCATGTTTTCCTTTCCTTGTTGGTGAGGGTTTCTGCTTTGTTCATGTTTTCCTTTCCTTGTTGGTGAGGGTTTCTGCTTTGTTCATGTTTTCCTTTCCTTGTTGGTGAGGGTTTCTGCTTTGTTCATGTTTTTTTGTTGTTGTTTTTTTCTCACCGAATGGTTGAACGTTCCTATGGTATGATGGGCTCTGAATCGCAGCCGATAAAAGCTACTAATATTTAACATAATTTTATCAGTGGAATAATCAAGTCC